GGTGGGTAATCCTTGTTTATCCGCACTAGGGGTTGCAAGCTGGTCGGGTCGGGCCGGGTTGAAAATGGGTAATGCAAAAACGGATAAATTATCCGACCCCGTCCATAGTTAAAGTCTTGGTTAAATTAAAAATATTTATTAGCTAAAAAGTGATGGTAGGCGAAAAATATGGATTTTTGACTACTTTGCACCTATTATTTGCTACATTTTAATTGTGTTTGAGCTAAAATATAGATAATTTATACTCATTGCGCATTTTCTATTATGTAGGTTGAGACCTAAGGCTAAGACGGTTTTTTTTAGCTAAAGTAAATGAAAGAGAACTTCGAAGTCTAAATAGAAGTTCGTGAGTTAAACCGGGATCGAGTTTGAGGTGCAAAGACTAAGAGCCCGTTTGGACATAAAATTTGATGAAAGTTTTTTCCAAAAAAATTTCACTTTTTTTCGAAATCAGCGTTTGTTCATAAAATTTCCAATTTTCACTTGAAGATGTATTTTGAAAATTTTCGAAAATTTGAAAAACTCCAAAAAATTATTTTTTAAAATTTTCACTCGCAAAACTTCAAAAATAACCCAAACTGAAATTTATGTTCAAACACAACTTTAAATTTTAAATATTATTTTCACTTAAAAAAAAATTCACCATTTTTTTAAATTTTACAATTCTTATGTCCAAACGCCTACTAAGTATACATAGAAAAATTGAAAAGAAAACAATGTCAAGGGAATGAATTAAGGAGGACACGTTGTATACCCCAACTTGAAGCACCTGGTGGTTATGCAAGAGTTCAAACAAAGACTAAAGTGCAATTCTGCTATTTTTCCAAGGCTGACTCACGTGATGTCACCCAAAATGCAAGAATTAGGCAACATGCATTCTTTTAGTTAAGATTCTGTAAAGTGCCACTAATTCGGCGTGCAGTGCGTCGCGCGGGCGGCGCACTAGTGCTCAGAGAGTGTATTTCAGTCCAGGTCCGTTATTTACACGATTTTTGAAGGGGATTCGACTTAGCATAGTTTTGAAGATTTACTATGGCTTGAAGACAAAAGATTTTATCAATTCTCTTGCCAACAATTGATGCAATACCAAAGTTTGTATCGTAAAGTTATTTTTGATATTTTCTATATTAAACTTACTTGAGATGACTTTCTACATTATTATGAAATAATTTACTATAGTGTTTGACGGATATAGTATTTTGATTGCTATTTGTGGATTTAACTCTGGTTTAATTGTGTGAATACGCTGGGGAGGTTTGAATTGATTGCAAATTTGTTCACCGATTTATTTAATCGAAAGAGGAATATTTTGGTGATTATCTTGCATTATTTTATTTGGTTTAACTTAGTGATTCTTCTAAGTAATCGGGAAAACTTTTTGAATTATTAATTAAACCAAGTTAGGAGAATATTAGAGAGACGTTTCCTAAAGACTAGTCATGTAACGACCCGACCGGTCGTTTTGAGCTCTAGCGCGTCGTCCGACGGTTTGAGGCCTTGTGTAGCTTCACTTCAGGTATTATGACTTGTACGTGTGGTCGGAATTGAATTTTGGGAAGTTCAGAGTTGATTTGGAAGGAAAATTCTAATTTCGGAAGCTTTAAGCTAGAAGAATTGACTAAGGTTTGACTTTTGAGTAAACGACCTTAGAATCTGGGTTTGAACGTCCAATAGGTTCGTATGATGATTTCAGACTTGGGCGTATGTTCGGGTTGAGTATCGGGTGGCCCGATAGTATTTCAGCGCTTATTGTGGAAGTTGGCATTTTGAAGGTTTTAAGAATTTCTTAAGTTATTTAAATCATTCAAAGGAAATCAATCAATACTCTCTTCTCTCTCAGCGTATGATAGCGTGTTTTTGCTAACATATGCTGAACAACAACGGGGAGGGGTAGGCCGAAGAGAAATACGACTACGATTCATCTTGTGGATTATACAGGAACTGGGAACAACACTCAGATCACTGGAACGCAAAGTTTGGAGATCACAGATGCAAAGAAAATTTCAATGGAACGGTGGCTGTCATTATCAGCCACAAAGGAAGGTATGCAAACACCCCCTGCTATGAGTCCTTTACCGATGATTGATAGTGCAAAGGTAACTATTGGCAATCAGTGGGAAAACGTCAACCCTAGCTCAGGAAAAACTGGTCTGCATGCGAGCAATTCAGAAGCAAATACTGGTAATCAGTTGAAGAACGGCAACCCTAGCTCAGAGAAAATTGATCTGCCTGCGAGCAATTCAGAAGCAACTACTGGTAATTTGGGGAAAATTGGGGATAGGTTAGAGGATGATAAAAGCAAGGACAAACTAACAGCTGCGAGCACAGAGGTAGACCAGAAGAAGTGGGCTAATTTGTTTGTGGGGAACAGATTGGCAGCGAAAGGAATGGATCTAAGTTTCATTGCACCAACCATAAAAAATGGAGAAGTAATTGTTGAATTATGCAAGGAAGAAGTGGAAGAGGAGACAAGGAAATGGAAGCAAGCTATGATCCTGTATGTTGTTGGAGTAACCCCAACAATAGGAGCTATGGAACGTTTTATTGCTTCAGTGTGGAATTTTGCAACAAAGCCAAAAGTCTATTTTCACAATGATGGTTATTTTGTGGTAAGATTTAACTCTACAGAGGATAGGGATGAAGTTTTGTACTCAGGGCCTCACATGCTGAATAATAAGCCGATAATCATGAAGGTATGGTCAGAAAATTTTGATTTTAATAAGGAGGTATTGCAAACCATACCTGTGTGGGTAAAGTTCCCTAATCTACCACTGAATTGCTGGGGAGCAAAGTCACTAAGCAGGATAAGTAGTGGATTAAGGATTCCCTTATATGCAGATGCTTGTAATACTAAGTTGGATCGAATTACCTATGCTAGAGTGTTAATTGAGATGGATGTTACTAAAGAACTACCTAGGGCCATTAAGGTGACAGATCCTAAGGGAAGAGAATTCATGCAAGAAATAGCTTATGACTGGGTCCCTGAATTTTGTCATACATGTATGCAAGTTGGGCACAGATGCAAAAAAGAAGAACAACCAGCTCAGAAGATTAAGCCTAAGCAACAAAAGCAGAAACAGGAGTGGCAACCCAAAGCTAGCCTTAGTGATAAGGTGAAGCAGGCAAACGTAGTACCTGTTAAGAACAGTGAAGTAGCAATGGTTGTTGGTGCAAATAGCCATCTTGCTAACCCATCTACAAGGATAGCTAGAGGAGAGGAGGAACATATTTGGAAAAAAGCCACAGGGAAATCAGTAGCTAGAAGCAAGGAGATAACAGGAGCTGATGCAATTAGCATGATCAATGGGTTCAACATACTAGCAGAATCTGGATTGCAACTAACAGTTCCAAGGCAAATGGGTGAGGGTTCAAGTAGGCAGAGTAGCCAAACAGGAGTGGAAGGGTATTCACAATCCCTATTTATTCCTGTATGAAGCTGGTTACATGGAACATTAGGGGATTGAATAAGATCCCTATACAGAAAGAGGTTAAGAGGTTTATAAGGAGCAATAAAATAAGTATGATAGCATTACTTGAACACAAAATAAACAAGAAGAAGGCTATTCAAATAATAAGGAAGATCACTACAGGGTGGGATTGGTTAGCCAACTATGAACACAGTAGCAAAAGAAGAATTTGGTTGTTATGGGATGCTAATGAGATAGAATGCTTGGAATTGGGAAAGTCTTCTCAATTTACTCATACTGCAGTTCACATTAAAAGTATGAATATGAGGTTTGATTTTACTGCAGTCTATGGCTTGCATACATTGGAAGACAGGAGATACTTGTGGAGAGACTTAGCTGATATAAATATTAGGCAACAAGGCCCATGGCTAATCATGGGAGACTACAATGCCATCAGGTCAGGGGAGGATAGGCCAATTGAGAATCCTGTACAAGAATTGGAGGTGAGAGATTTCAATAGTTTCATAGATGATAATGCTTTGGTTGAAATGAGGACCAATGGAAGGAATTTCACATGGACAAATGGGCACACGTACAACAAAATAGACAGAGCTTTGGCCAATGCTGAGTGGATGCTGAAAATGCTATATCTAGAAGTATGGGTAATGGATCCAGGATGCTCTGACCACTCACCCCTGAATGTGTCATTTGAAGATAATGAAGAGAAAGTTCCCAAACCTTTCAAGTTTCTAAATCATCTAGCTGAACACAAAGACTTCCTAGCTCTAGTTAGTGGAGCATGGCAAGGGAGTAATGAAGACAATACCATGAAAGATGTATGGAAAAGATTGAAAAGAGTGAAACAAGCTATGAAAGAGCTTAATAATACAGAGTATAATGCAGTAGGAGACAAGATTAAATAGTGCAGGAAACAATTATGTGAGCTGCAGGAACAAATGAGGAGTCCTGGACAACCTGAGAATATGGTTATAGTAGAAAAGTACATAAAGATGCAACTGGAGAAGTGGCTGAGGGTGGAAGAAACTATCATGAAACAAAAGTCGAGAGTACAGTGATTAAAGCTAGGAGATGCTAACACTGCCTACTTCTTTGCAAACATGAAAAGTAGATACTCTCAGAACAAGATCAAGAACTTAATAAGGAGCAATGGGGAAGTAATACAAACAAAACAACTATTGGGATCAGCAGCTGAAAGATTACTTGCTATTAATCCAGTGGTTATGAGGGATGGTACATTGGTGAATAGACAACAACAATTACAGTTGGTAAAAGCAGTATCTAAAGAAGAAATATACAAGGCTCTACTAGGTATTAGTGATAGTAAAGCACTTGGATGTGATGTGTTCAATGCACTTTTCTTCAAAAAGGCATGGCATGTGGTTGGAGACAAGATAACAAATGCAATGATGGAGTTCTTCTCAAGAGATAACTTGTACCAGCCTATCAATTGTACAACAGTGACCCTGGTTCCTAAGGTAACAAATCCAACCAGAATTACTGAATTCAGACCAATATCTTGATGCACTCTCATCTACAAAATCATCTCGAAGGTGATAACTAATAGACTGCAAGGCATAATGGATGATATAGTAGATAAAAGTTAGTCTGCATTTGTGCCTGGAAGATTGATAAATGACAACATAATAATGAGTCATGAACTTGTTAAAGTATATTATAGGAAAGGCTTATCACCAAGATGCATGTTGAAAGTGGATATGAAGAAAGCCTACGACTCTATTGAATAGGATTATATGGATCAAGTCCTAAGGAGTCTGCAAATGCTAGGGAAGTTTGTTCACTGGATTGTGAGATTTGTGAGGAGGGTCTCGTATTCCATCATCATCAATGGGCAGCATTCAACACCTTTCCTTGCTGTTGAGACAGGGTGATCCTTTGTCTCCGTACCTATTTGTATTGGCTATGGAGTACTTCACTAGACTGTTGAAGATATTAAAGATGAATCCAAATTTTAACTATCACCCTAAGTGTGCCAAGCTGAACATAATGCAACTTAGTTTTGCTGATTATCTGTTACTATTTTATAGAGGTGATATTATATCTGTGCAGCTATTATATCAGTGCTTCCAAGAATTCTCACAAGCTTCTGGATTAGTTGCCAATGCTGAAAAAAGTTCCATCTATTTTGGAGGAGTCAGGGATGACATACAACATGAAATACTGCAAATGATAGGATTCTCCAAGGGGAATATTCCAGTGAGATACCTGGGGGTATCTTTGAGTACTAAAAGGCTATCACTGGTGCAATGTCAGCCTCTTATTGAGAAAATGGTAGGGAGAATACAATCTTGGACTACTAAGTTCCTCTCTTATGCAGGAAGAGTCCAGCTTATTAAGAGTGTACTATTCTCCATTCAAGTGTTTTGGTCTCAGATATTCCTACTACCAAAGAAACTGATTCATTTGATTGAAAGCATGTGTAGAAGGTTTCTATGGACAGGAGGTGTGGAGGTCACGAAGAAAGCACTTCTAGCCTGGGACAGATTGTGTTGGCAAAGAGCAACAGGTGGATTGAACTTGTTAGACATAGGCATACGGAATAAAGTTGCTATCTGCAAGCTACTATGAAATTTATGCAAGAAGAAAGATAAAATGTGGGTTCAATGGGTTCATGTATACTATAAGAAATATAATTTAGTGTGGGGAGCTGAGCCAAAACAAGCATCATGGGTGATCCAGAAGATACTTAAAGCCAAGAAATACTTTGAAGAAGCTGGTTACTCAGAAGAAGAGGTATTCAGAATGGAAAAATTCCCAACCAAGGCTATGTACTTGAAGCTGCGAGGAGAGTTTAGCAAGGTTCCATGGAGAAGGTTGATATGAAACAATATTGGGCTACCTAAATGGATACTTATCTTATTCCTGGCTGCATATAAAAGACTACAAACAAGAGACAAATTGAGGAGATGGGGCTGTGTGGAAGATGATACCTGCCCATTATGTCGCATAGAAGAAGAAACTATTGATCACCTATTCTTCAAATGTACATTTTCAACACAAATCTGGACAACAGTGCTGGAATGGAAAAGGTTTCATAGACAAGCGATGGCATGGGATCAAGAATTGAAATGGGCTGAACAACACTGTAAAGGCAGAAGTTCTAATGCTGAAATTTACAGGATGTCACTAGCTGGAAACATGTATTATATATGGAAAGAGAGGAATGCACGAGTCTTTCAGGCAACACAGATGAATGCTGAAACAATCACTCGACTGTTAACACAGGAGATACATTGTAGAGGGAATTTGAAGCAACGTTTGAAGAGAAGGTTACTAGAACTGAACTACTATCCTATTGTTCATATAGATAGGAGTAGTGGGAAAGGAAGAGATAGCTGAATCTGGGACTTATGTCCAGATCAAGCTATGAAGAGAACCAATGTGTAAATATTAGTTGATAATAAAATTATTTAGTTACCAAAAAAAAGAATTTCTTAAGTTTGATTTGAAGTGGACTTTGGTGTTATCGAAGTTCGTTTGAGGTTCCGAGCCTTGGAATAGGTTCGTATTGTGATTTATGACTCGTGCGTAAAGTTTGGCATTATTCCGGAATATTTAAGTATGATTCAGACGCGTTCGTCGAAGTTTAAAAGTTTGAAAGTTTAAAGAAAGGTTTCGATTGTCGATCCATAGTTTTGATGATGTTTGATGTGATTTGAGGCCTCGAGCAGGTCCGTGTTATGTTATGAAACTTATTGGTAAGTTCGGACGGGGTCCCGAGGGTCTCGGGCGTATTTCGGACAAGTCGCAGATCACTTTGGAGCTTGGTTGCATTGCTGAAGGGCCTGGGTACTGATGCAATCGCACCTGCAGAAAAAGGGCTGCAGATGTGACTCCGCAGAAGCGACCAGGCAAGCGCAGAAGCAAATTTGCTAGGGGAAGGCTGGGACCGCAAATGCAGTCAAGTTTCTGCATAAGCGGAACTGCATCCGCGGATGGGGCGTCGCAGAAGCGTGGGCGCAGAAGCGCTGAAGGAGCCGCAGATGCGGTTGGCGACCTTGGCTGGATTCGCGCAGGTGCGAGTTTGATGCCGCAGAAGCGACCATGGGACCGCAGATGCGAGGCAGCGCTGGGCAGACTTGATTTTATAAGGGATTTGGCCCATTTGTTTTTCATTTTCTCTTGACTTGGGTGATTTTTAGAGAGCTTTAAGGAGAGATTTTCATCAACCATTGCAAGGTACGTAATTCCCACAAATATTTAGTGAAATACATGGATTATATGTGGATTTAAGCATGAAAATTAGTAGAAATTGTGAGATTTTGAAAGAAACCTAGAAATTGGTATTCTTGGATTTTGACCATGAAATTGGACATGGAACTTGGAATAAATTATATATTTGAGTTCGTAGTGTTATGGGTAAAGTTTATCTTCGAAAATTTTCGAAATACGGGCACGTGAGCCTGAGGGTTGACTTTATTGACTTTTCGAGCGAAGTTTGAAATTTTTATAAATTGTAAACATTGAAGTATATTTTGATTGTTTTGCACGCTGTTTAACTAGTCTCAGAACGTTTGGCTTTGAATTGAGGAGTTAGAGAGGCGTTAGAGCTGGTTATGGAACTTCGGAGCGAGGTAAGTCTCCTGCCTAACCTTGTGAGGGGGTAACTGCCCCCTAGTTGATGTATTTTCTATGTGGTACTAGTTGTGGGTGCTACGTACGCATGAGGTGACGAGAGTCCGTACGTAGCTAAAGCATGTTTATGTCCGGGTAGACTTAGGACCTTATCATGTAATATTTAAATTATTTGAACTCATTCTGCTGGCTTGATTACTTGAACTTATAATTGAAATTGATTTAGAAATAAATATATGTATACTAGGCCGAGGCTTATCACCTTGAGTTGTTGGCTAGTTATTTGAGAAACGATAAAGATTATATTCACTTTGTGCTCATGTACTGTATTGTAAGCACGTGTCTCGTAATTCGATAATTTTCTTCCTTTCTTGTGGAGCGGGTCGAGCGCCTCGGCAGTATAATAGATGCATCTATGATTCGTGCCGCTCGAACCTCAGCAGTGTACACATTATTCTGTATCGGGCCGAACGACCTCAGCATAATCGTGTGTTATAACGCCGGTAGTACGAACATGCACGAGATTATCTTTCAACTGATGCCCGGTATTTTACATGGTACTTCTTGTCCGTTTGTTGCTGGTACTTGATACATTCGAGCTGATGAGGTAGAATACAAGATTGAGAAATTCATACTTTAAAAGAAATATTTGGAAGATTAGGTAACTTATAGATTTATCCCATTATGGTTGTGTGCTTCACATCTGCTTATTATTTTATTGTATTGCTTTGTTGGAACTCTAGTAAGTGTCGATGTCGACTCCTCGTTACTACTTCTCCGGGGTTAGGATAGATACTTACTGGGTATGCGTTGATTTACGTACTCATGCTGCACTTCTACACTAAATGTGCAGGATCTGACAGGTTCATTTGGTGATCATCTTGACGCGCATGCGCAGCTGTTGATGAGGCTTTATGTGAGCTGCATTCCAGGCTATGCATCGCAGTCCACAGAGTCTCCATCATACTATTTATTTTATTCTGTCTCATTGTCACGACCCATAACTTACTATAGGCCGTGATGGCGCCCAACGTCGCCGTTAGGCAAGCCAATGGTGAACTACCAACTTGATTACGCGTTTTATTACTTTCAAAATCATGCATTTTATCAGATGAAGAAATCAACGCATTAAAATCATGAAAACTTACACTTTAAATAGAATAGATAATAAAAGTGTGTAAATGCTAAGTAAAATCACCACAACATCTAGAACTTTCCAAAAACCGGTGTCACAAGTGCATGAGCATTTACTAAGGAGTACAATAATAATACAACATCCGTTTGGAATACAAGTTAGCCAGAAGAATAT